TGTTTACAATTGTTACACCTTTATGATGAATTATTCTTTTTATGGTAGAGTTCTCTTGCTCTCCCTTCAAATCCGTCAGTAACTGTTTATGATTTCCTGGTGGCCTGTGGCATAAATGTTAACAATTGTTATACCTTCATGATGAATTATTCTTTTTACCACTGTCCTTTGTCTCTTACAACAGTTTTTGCCTTAAAATCTCTATAATCTGATCTTGTAACAGCCCCGCTCTCTTGGTTACTGTTTACATGCATTATCTTTTTTCCATCTTTTCACGGTTAAACTTTTTGTGTCTTGGGGTCTAGAGTGACTCTCTTGTAGGTACGATAGGACCTGGGTCACTGTCTTTGTTTCCATTCTACCAGTCTTTGCCTTTGGATAGGAAAGTTAATTTACATTAACATAACCGCTGAGGAAAATCTTAATTGCTCTATGTTGCTGCTTTCTGTCTTATGTCCCTTGTGTGTTTCATTGCCTACATTGCTGCTTTATGTAATTGTTTGATTTTTTTCCCCTCCTTACGTTGTGAGTGCTTTTTGATGCTCTTCTCGTTCTTTTGTATGCCATCATGTGCTGCCTAACATTTTGGTGAACCTGAGGCCAAATAGGCAGATGGGGGCCCTGATGTACAGTTGTTTAGTGATGACACAGCCTTTGTGATGTGGCCGAGTTTCCTGGGCATGAGCCTCTTGTTCCCTGGGCCTGGGCCTCCCATGTCTCTCGATACCATTATTTTCTCCGTGCTTGATTCAGTCTTGTTTCTGTTCATCGTGGCCCCTACGCACACAGTACCTGCTGTTGATGTTGCCAGTGAGAGGCCATGTCAAGTAATTGGCCTGGAAACGCAAGTGGAAATCAGTGATGGGGGCTGTTAGAGGCTCAGCTTCGCTGAAGGCAGTGAGGCTGCGAGGCTTGAGAGGGAGAGGTCTGCATTGGGTGTGGAGACACTGCTCGGGTTGCGGGTTGAAGATCAGATGTGGGGTCGTCCCTGCTCGTCCCTGCGGCCATCTTGACCCAATCAGTGTCTGCCTGTGCTGTTGAGCGAACAGCCTGGGTCAGACTGTGATGTCGAATTTATCACTCGCTCTGGGTGATGTAAATGATCCATCATTGTTTGCTGCATGAAGTGAGGGAGGTTGGCCCGCTGGGGCTGATGTGAAGGCAGCTAGAAAAGTTTTTTTGAAACTCTGCATCAGCTGAGTGTAGAGGAAAATTGCTCGCCAGGGGGAATCTCCAAGATGGATGAAGCCTCGTGATTGTATAAATGGGTGCCCAGAAGGGTTCTCATCCACCTGGACGCCCAGCCTGTGCTAGGTTTCAAGGTTTTGAAGGACAGGTCGGCCGTCCGGCTCAAGTACAGTGTTGCAGGCTGCCAGCTGAACCCTTTCTGACCTGGCGCAGGGAGAACCCCAAGGCCTCGGTGAGCTCACACGGCTCGTGCACTGCAGGAACGGGGAGAGGTCGCAGTGAGCGCAGCTCCTCCTCCACGAGGCCCTCCTGGATTGCCGTGCCGTGAAACCCAGACATGCCGTTTGGAGCATAACAGACCTTCAGGGTCTTGCTTGTCGAGGCTGAGGCTCGCGACATCCTCCTTTTATTGGTGCTCTCCATCCCCGGGTCCAGACGTGGCCTCTCCGGTCCCGCCTTTCAGATCCACTGCTTTGGGAGGGGACTTGCCGGGCCTTCGAGCAGACACTGCAGCGACTCTGGAGAGATGACGGCAGCGCCATCGGGAGCCGCTGGGGCTGGGGCTGGTGTTCCCAGGAGGCGCGGGCAGCATCTGGAGGAAGACACTGAAGACTCCCCACCCGTGACTTCGAGGATGAAGACGTTGCAGGAGTGAGCAGGACTATGGGCTGGCATGGCAGCACCTTTAGCCCGTGTGGCGTGATGGGTGCGGGTGACATGAGGAGCTCCTGGGGGTGGCTTCGGAGCCCCTGGCTGGTGCAGAATTGTTGGGACTGTGCAGGCAGGAGAACAGGAAGGGCTAAGCACAAGGCTTTGCAGCCTCAAGTTGATGATCATGTGCCCCACACTGGGAGGTTTTCACTGAATAATAGACAGGAGATGCTCACGGTTTCACTCTCCCCTGCAGCAGCCCCGCGGCCGAGTCTCTAGAGGGAGCTCCACCCCGAGAACCCGCGGTCCCCGAGGCCGCCCTGCAGCCTGCGCTCCCCGGGGGCGGCAGCTGGCACAGACGTCCCGGAACTGCCCTCCAGGGGGCCCTCGAGATGGACACAGTGGGGTCGGGACCCGCCGGCTGTTTTTAGCCAAAAAGTTTAAAACAAAAAAATTCATTTGTGAAGTGAGGAAAAAGCTTACAGGATTAAGAGAGACTCTCCTGGTGCAGCTAGATAATGTTTGTGTCTAAGCCAGGTATCGTTACAGGAGAATAAAACCTTGGAAAATAAGACATCCAATTTTTATTAATTTTAATTATTTAAAAATTAATTTTTATTTAAATGAAGTGAAACGGTCACACGGCTGGCCGACTGAAGACCGAGTTCTCAGAAGCAGCGGGGGCGTCCCCGCTGAGAGCCCTCGGTTTATTTCTCCAGTCTGACCTGCAAGCGTGCCTCAGCGTTTTATTTTTTATTTTATATATTTTTTGCGTCGTTCATGTTTGTACGATACATGCTTTCTCAGCTCAGGTGCAGCCCTGTGACCATCACCCTCGTCCCTGTGCTCTTCCCGCCCCTGCTCTGACCCCCCTCCTCTCTCCCCCCGAGGTGTCTCTGGTTGATAGTTGCCTGCTGATTTTCATTTTCACTTATCGTTTTGTTTTTTTAAGATTTATTTATGCCTACAAGAGCTGGGGTGCAGGCCAGAGGTGCGGGGGGTGAGAGGCTTCACCAGAGACAGAGTGGGGGACAGAACAGGCAGACTGACTGAAATCCACTGCTGAGGGGAGCAGCGGGGAGACAGGAGGGGTCTGCTGCGCCATGTGGGTTGCTCCACGGCCAGCGGGGATCGAACCTGCGCTGCAGAGGCTGGGGCAGCTTCACAGCCCTGAGCTCAAGCCGCTGCGCCGCCAGGGAGGCCCGATTTTCACTTTGTCATAATAATTTTTTCCCGATTCCTTATTTGGATCCTCCACGTTCCTCCTAGGAGCGAGACCATCCAATATTGTTCTTTTTCTTTCTGGCTTATTCACTGAGCATGACCCTTCCAGCTCCGGCCGTGTTGCTGCGAATGGCAGGACTTTCTCTCTCTTGATGGTCCTCGGCATCTGAGGAGGGAGTGACGGTGGGGGGCCGAGCGTGAGGAGACTCGGAGCAGGACGGGCTGGCGGTCGTCACCTGCTCTGAGCATGGGAGGCCGAGGTCACCGTGGCTGGGCCGACAAAATGACAACGTTCAACACAAAGTCACCCAGGCTGTGTGTGTCTGTGCGTGAAGTATGTTGTTTGTGCAGATGGCACAGGGGTCGCGGTTGCCTCGAGCACCCCCGCTTGCTCGGCGCTGACCCACGGGCGCGTCTTCCCCCAGGCCTGCGAGGTGGTGTCCGCGCTGCTGCCGGGGACGCTGGCGAGCTGAGCCTGGGGGTGTTGAGTGCTGCTCCCCAACCCTGGGCTTTTAGTAATTGAAGCTGCCCTGGCACCGCGGCCCACGCGAGCAGAGCGCCTGGGGCGGCGGGGGGCGTTTCCAAGCCTTTGGGAAGTTGGGGTGGAAAGCTCAGCTCGGTGTCCTCCGTGAACTGTCCTCTCACCCGTTCGTAGCGGCTTTGTGCAACGAGTAAGCGTGCGAGACCAAACCCGCCAGGAACTGCCGCTCTGAGCTGCTTGCTCGCTCGTCTCCAGTTCATTTCTTGGCTGCGCTGCGCGTGTTTGCTCGTCTGAAAATGCAGCTGCGGGTTGTGGCCCGGGTTGTGGCCCGCGTTGTGGCCCGGGCTGAGCCCGAGACGCTCGCGGGGGAGCGGACGGCTGTCGAGCTCCGGGGGTTCCGCTTTCCCAGCTCCCCGCTGACTGGGCTGGGGGTGAATTCCCTCCCTTTTACCTGCAAACCTTTTTTTTTTTTAAAGCTCTATTGATGCAGACAAGAGCCGGGGTGCGGGCCAGAGGTGGGGGTGAGGGGATCCACCGGAGACAGAGCGGGGAGCAGAACGGGCGGATCCACCGAAACCCACTGCTGAGGGGCGCAGCGGGGAGACAGGCGGGGTCTGCTGCGCCCTGTGGGGAGCTCCCTAGCGGGGCCTCGAACTCGGGCTGCCGCGGCTGTGTCTGAACCCCTTGCGCCGCCAGGGAGGCCTGGACACAGAATTCGGAGCCTGCCTCTGCCCTCAGGGGTGTCCTTGTCCTCGGCAGACTAGTTGCACCCCGAGAATGAAGCCCCCCGCTGCCGCCGGCTGGTTTGCGCCCCGCGTCATCCGCCCCGCTTGGCCGCGACGGTCACGGGCGCCCTTGGCCCAGCACCTGGCGACCCGCGGCGGAGGCCGTGGCGGTCGGTCCCGCGCGGCCGGGTGGGGCGGCGCCTCCCGGCAGGGCCAGGGGTCCCCGCATCCCCGCACCCCACCTGCCCCTCGCCGTGGCCGGGCAGCGGGCGGCGCCTTCCGAGCCCCCTCGCCGCCAGGCCGCGCTCCTGCTGCGGGGTCCCCCCCCCCAGCCGGGCGCGGAGGGCCGCCGGCCATGGGCCGCGGGGTCCGCGGGGTCCCCTCCGCACCCGGGCCGGGGGCGGGGGTCTGGGCAGGGCCCCGCGGGGGGGGGGCGCCGGCCATGGCCTCGCGGGGTCCCCTCCGCACCCGGGCCGGGGGCGGGGTCTGGGCAGGGTCTCCGCGGGGGGGGGGCGCCGGCCATGGCCTCGCGGGGTCCCCTCCGCAGCCGGGCCGGGGGCGGGGGTCCCCTGGGCAGGGCCCGGGGGGGGCGGCAGGGCCGCGGCGCCGGGGCCTCGCGGGGTCCCCTCCGGGCCGGGGCGGGTCTGGGCGGGCCGGGGCCGGGGCCGGGGGCCGGGGCGGGCGGGCGGAGAGGAGCCCCCCCCGCGCGCGCCCACGCCGTGTCCCCGCAGGTGGAGCGCATCGTGGACAAGCGGCGCAGCCGGAAGGGGCGCACGGAGTACCTGGTGCGCTGGAAGGGCTACGACAGCGACGACGACACGTGGGAGCCCGAGCAGCACCTGGCCAACTGCGAGGAGTACATCCACGACTTCCACCGGCGCCACCCCGAGCGCCCGCGCGAGCCCGCGCCGCGCGCGCCCCGCGCGCCCCCGCACAGCGCGCGCAAGCACGTGTCGCGGCCGGGGCCCCCCGCGCCGCCCCCGCGCGCGGCCGCGCGCGCCCCGGGGCTGCCCCGCGAGCCCGAGCCGCGGCCCGCGCCGCCCGCCGCCGCGCAGAAGCCGCGCCGCGCCGGCCGGGGCATGGACCTGGCGCGCTCGGGCATCAAGATCCTCGTGCCCAAGAGCCCGCTCAAGGGCCGGCCCGCGGCGGACGGCGCGCCGGGCCCCGGCGCCGAGCCCCCGGCCCCCGCCGAGCGGCCGCCCGAGGACGCGGCGGCGCCCCCCGAGCCGCGCCCGCGCCCGAGCGGCCGGCGCCCGAGCGGCCGGCGGGGGCCCTGCTGGGCCCGGGCGCCGAGCGCGCGCGCATGGGCAGCCGGCCGCGGGGGCCCCCCTGGCGCCGCAGCCGGCCGCGCCCGTGGCGGCCGTCGTGGCCACCGGCCTGGCCGTGAACGGGAAAGGTGAGTGTCCGGCGCGCGCCCCGCCCCCACCCGGGGCCCTCCCGCCCCTTCCGCCCGCCCAGCGCCTCGCCCCTCCCCCCACGCACCCCTCCCCCAGCACCCCAGCTCCCCTCCCCCTCCGCACCCCTCCCCCAGGCTCCGCCCTCCGCACCCCTCCCCCTCCGCCCCCTCCCCCAGCACCCCCCCGCCCCTCCCCGACCGCGGGGTCAGGGCGCCTGGGTCGCCCCGGGCCCTGCTGGCCGCGCCCCGCCCCGCCGGGTGCCCGCTGTGCGGGTGGGGGCGCCCGGACCGCGGCCCCGAGTCTGCGGGGCGCCAGGGCCCTTCTGGGGGCGCCCCCTGCGCCCCGCCCCTGCCCGCTGCAGCCCGGGCTCCCTCGCGCGCCCCGGGGCGCCGGCCCGGCCCGGCGGGCGGGGACCCTCCCCAGGGGGGCGGCGATGGGCGCGGCGGGTGGCCAGGGGGGGCGGCGCCGGGCGGGGCCTCCCGCTGACGTGGCCCGCCCCGCCCCCCGCGGCCCTGCCCGCGCCCGCCGGGCCTCGGCGCAGACGGCCCGACCCGCCCGACCCGCGATGCGCCGCGCAGCCCCCGCCGAGCCCCCGCGCGCCCGCGGCGGCGCCGACGGGGGAGGCGGGACGCCGGGAGCCCGCCCGCCCCGCGCCGGTGGACGCCGCTGCCCGCGAGGTGCCCACGGTCAGCCGCCCCCGCGGGGGCCCTCGGCCGGCCTGGCGGTGGGGGGCCGGGGCCGCCGGGGCCGCCGGGACCGGCTCTGGGGGGCCAGGCGGGGCCTGTGCGGTGGGGCCGGGCGCCCGGGGCCCGCGCGCTGGGCAGGGCAGGGCAGGGCAGGGCCGGGCCGGCCGCCCCCGCGCGGGGGTCCGGCTGGCGGGACCGGGAGGGTCCCCGGCCCGGGCGCCCTCTGGGGTTGGGGCTGGCCCCCCGCGGGAGGGTGACGCCCTGTCCCCGGGCGGGCCGTGGCCCCGCGCCTCGGAGGGCAGCGCCCGAGCGTCTGGCCGGGGCGTCCACCCTTCCCTGCCCTCCGCGTCCCGGAGACCCCGTTCCCTCTGGCTGCAGAGGTGGGGCGCTGGGGGCTGGGCACCCCCTCGGCAGGGCCAGCCCCTCCCTGACAGGACATGTCCAGCCTTGCGGCTGTGCTGCTGGCCGCTGTGGCCAGCCCAGGGCATGGCGCGCCGCAGAAATTCCAGTAGATTCCTGGGCCGGTGGGTCAGTTCTCCGCGACCACTCGGCGAGCAGAGCGCAGTGGCTGTCGCTGGCCGGGGGCGGCCTGGGGTGGGCCGGGCCGCCGGCGGCCTCGTCCAGGAGGCTGCGCCGTGGTCCCTCGAAGCCGCCGCGGCCGGAGCCCGGGCAGAGCGCCGCTCCTTGCTGGGACCTTCGAGGGGGAACCGTCCTGCGGGCCCAGCAAGGCTGCGGGTGGGCGGGCCGGACCGGCCACGGCCCCGGGTCCCCGTGCCCCAGAGCAGCCCGACGGCCCGGGCCCGCTGGGGACACCCCAAGTGTCCCCCGCCTGGACGCGGCGGCTTCCCGAGCCCGGGCTCCGGGCCACGCGTCTGAAGGACCTTTCTGGCCTCGTCCTCCTGCCCTTGCGGTGGGCTGGCCGTGGGGTGCGGCGGCTGCGCCCGCCTGGCGCCGCCAACCTCGGCCCCGGTCGTCTGCCACGTGGCCCCCCAGGCCTGGGCTGGGGACGCGCGGTCCTGCCGCCCCTGTCCGTGCTCCGGGCGGCGCGAGGGGTGCAGACGCCCTGGAGGCCGTGCGCCCAGCGGGGCCCGGAAGGGGGGCGCCCCGCGAGGGGAGGATCCCGGGCTTTGAACACGCGCCTGAGCCCGACGCCGGGCGCCCGCATGCGGGGTTCCAGCCGTAGCGAGTCCCGTCCCCCGCCGCCCATCCCCCGGAGGCGCCAGCCGGCGGGGCGGGGCCCCCGGGCAGGCCCGAGCTGGAGGCACGGCGCGCGCCCCGCTGCTGTCCGGCCTGCGCCCCGCTGCTGTCCGGCGCGGACCCCGCTGCTGTCCGCTGCTGTCCGGCGCGGACCCCGCTGCTGTCCGGCGCGCGCCCCGCTGCTGTCCCGGCGCCCCGCTGCTGTCCGGCGCGCGCGTGGCCGGGCTGCGGGCCCAGCGTGGGTGCCGCCCGCGGGGCTCCCTCCCCAGGACAGCCGCGCCCGAGGGCCAGCGCTGCTCGTGGCTCGCACGCCAGGGGCGCGGGCGTGAGGTTCGCGCTGTTCGGGGCGGCCCGTGGGGTGCCGCTGCCCGGCGATGCTGGCGCGTCGCGTTGGTGAAGCGCGAGACCAAGTCCCCGGGCACAGACCTCGCCCCGGGCAGGCACCGGGCACGCTCGTCGCCGCGGGTCGCCCCAGAGCTCGCGGGCGGCCCTGGAGCAGCGAGTGCAAACTCGGGGGGCTGTGGAGGTGCTTCCTCCGCGGTCGCCTGGAGAGACGCGCTGGGAACGTCGCCCCACGCCCAGCAGGGCGCGGGGTTCTGCGGGCAGAGCCTGGCACGGGCGTGGCCGCCCGCCGCGTCCTGAGGCCGCTCCTTGGGCTCGGCCGCGGGGGGGGGGGTGCCGTTCTCGGGGGACGGCGGCAGGCGCGCCGTCGGCAGGGACGCCGGGCTGCGCTGACCGCGGGCCTCCCTCGGGAGGTGGGCGGGCGGGATGGGCGGCGCCGACCTGCGGGCCTCCTCGGGTCACCCCGCGGGGCTCCCCGGGCTGGGGCTGCCGCTGCTCACCAGACGCCAGTCCCGGTGCCGGGGCCGCGCCGGGGAGCTCGGGCCATCCGCCCGGGGGCCGCGCCGGCCTGCGCGGGAGCAGCTGCCACGTGGACACGCGGCCTGGGGCCCCAGCTCGAGGCTTTCCCGTCAGGGTTCCTGGGCCGCGGGGCTCCGCCCTCTCCAGAGCCGGGTCTGTCCCAGCCCGCAGGCCTGGGCGGGCCCCGCGGTCGCGCCCCAGGAGGGTCCCCTGCGCGGGTCCCCTGCGGGCGGCTGGCCCGGCCCAGTTCCGGCGTCCCTCCCGCGGCCGGGGGTCTCGCCTGCGCGCCCTGCACGTCGGGTGGCGTCGGGGTGCCGAGCGGTGCCTCCCACTTTCGGGTGCTGCCCCTCGTTCCCGCTCGGCCCGGCCCCAGGCCGGCCACAGCTGCCTGTGGGTCTGCGCCCCCGAGTCGGGGCCGGGTCCCCGCGTGCAGTCCGGGGGCCCACGCCGGCCACCGCGGCCCGCGCCCCCCACGCCCGCCGAGGCTGGGGCGCTGGCCCCGCACCCCAGGGGCCGCCCGGGACGCTGAGGGCCGCGGGTTCCGGAACGTTCCGTGCGCCCCGCCCCGCCCTGGGGGCGGGCTCTGCGGGGGCGCGGGCTCTGCGGGGGCGCGGGCGGCGGGGCTGGCGGGCGGGGCCTGGAACAGCCCGTCGCCTCCGCTGAAGACCCTAGCAGGCAGGCGGGGCTCCTCGGGAGCGAAGAGGGGGCGCCCCTGGGGGGCGGGGGCGCGGCAGGAGGCCCTAGTTGCGCGCGCGGGTGGGGGGCGCCCGAGGAAGCCGGGGCGCGGGCCGGGCGGGGCGGCCGGGCGCGGGGGAGGACCCGGGGGGCGCCCCCCTGCCGGGAGCCCGCGAGGGCGCGGGGGCCCCCGGCCCGGCTGACGCGCGCCGCCCCCAGGCTCGTCGCCCTTCATGGACGCGCTGACGGCCAACGGCACGGCCGGCCTGCAGACGTCGGTGGGCAGCGTGGCCGCGGGCAAGAGGAAGCTGCTGGACGAGCGCCGCGACCAGCCCTTCGACAAGCGGCTGCGCTTCAGCGTGCGCCAGACGGAGAGCGCCTACCGCTACCGCGACGTGGTGGTGCGCAAGCAGGAGGGCTTCACGCACGTGCTGCTGTCCACCAAGTCCTCGGAGAACAACTCGCTGAACCCCGAGGTGGGCGCCGCCCCAGGGGTTTCGGGCGTGGGCAGCGCCCCGGGAAAGGCCGCGGGGCGCCCGGCCGGCCCCCGGGCAGCATGGAAACCACGGAGGGGACTTGAGGGTCTTTGACAGCGGGGGGGCTTGGAGAGCCCCGGTGGGGGGCGCTGTCCTCCCGCCATGCCGAGTCCCCTGGACACCAGGCCATGGGGCCCCTGGCCGGGGCCAGGCTCTCACACCCGTGCCCCCCGGACCTCGCTCCAGGCGCGGGGCTCGCAGCCCGAGGTCACCTTGAGTGGCCGCTGAGCAGCCGGGCAGTGTTTTCAGGCAGGAGAGGCCGAGCCCCTTGAGGCCACCTGCCCAGGCCGGGGCTGGGGCTGCGGGCCGGGCCTCCCGCCTTGCTGACCGGCCGAGGTCGTCCATCCCGAGCCCGGCTGCCGCTCTGGGCTCCGCGGGTCTGCCTGCCTGCCCCTGGCGTCCAGCAGCGGGAGCAGCGGCTCTCCCGCCTCTGCGGGGCTGCGGGCACGGGTGGGTGGGTGGGGGCGCTGGAGGACTCAGCCCCAGGCTGGAGGGACCAGCGGGGGCTGGGGGCTGGCGGCAGCGGCTCTGCACTCACCCCGCGCCCACCCGGCGCCCCGCAGGTGATGAAGGAGCTGCAGAGCGCGCTGAGCACGGCGGCCGCCGACGACAGCAAGCTGGTGCTGCTCAGCGCCGTGGGCAGCGTCTTCTGCTGCGGCCTGGACTTCATCTACTTCATCCGGCGGCTCACGGATGACCGGAAGCGGGAGAGCACCAGGATGGCCGAGGCCATCAGGTAGGGGGTGGGCCGGAGGCCCGGCCCTTGTGCCCAGCTGCCCCCACCCCCCAGCGGCCAGGCTCCTTCCCTCCAAGCTCAGGACGTGCCTTTTTCTCGTGTCTGGGCTGCAGGTCCACCAGGGCCTCCGCGAGCCCTCGCAGACCCCAGGAGTGGGGGTTCCAGGGCCGGGCGGTCTCCCTGCCCCGGTGTCTGGAGGGAAGGGGCTGGAGGGGGCGTTGGCCGTGAGCTGCCCGGCTGACTCCCGCCTGCCACTGTGCTGGCCTTGCTCTCCGTGGGGGTGGGTTAGGGTGGGGGGGGCTGCCCAATCCTGTGGGCCTGCGGCCCCGAGTGCCTCGCGGGAGCCGCCCTGCCTGGTTCTGGGTCCCGTCGGCCGCCCAGCTTCTCCACGGAGGCTCTGCCGCTCGCGCCGGCGCGGGGTGACCGGTAGGCCTTCCCGCAGGACCTTCGTGAACACTTTCATCCAGTTCAAGAAGCCCATCATCGTGGCGGTCAACGGCCCAGCCATCGGCCTGGGGGCGTCCATCCTGCCGCTGTGCGACGTGGTGTGGGCCAACGAGAAGGCCTGGTTCCAGACGCCCTACACCACCTTCGGGCAGAGCCCGGACGGCTGCTCCACCGTCACCTTCCCCCGCATCATGGGGGGTGCCTCCGTGAGTGCCACCCCACCGCCACCCCACCCACCCCACCTGCTCGCGTCTTGGCGCGCGGCTGTCCTCACGGCGCAGGGTTCGTGCTGCTGGCCTGGGCCCGGCTTCCCTCTGCTGTGCCCGGGTGCCCACTCCCGGCAGCACTGGGCGCCTCAGCAGGACATCCTCGCCCCACCCACGGCGCCGCCCCGCCCCTCTTGGCTGCCCTGCGGGTCCCCGGGCCGCAGAGCGGGCCTACCACAGCACCCCGGGCAGCGGGCACCTGCGTGTCTCCCTGAGCCTCGAGGCCACGGTGGCGTCTTGTGATCTTCAAGGGGCAGCCGCGGAAGAGACGGCGGCCATTTGGGCATGTCGCTTCTGCCTCCCGCTGCCTGGCGCACTGGCCTCAGCTCGCCCTTTTGCGGGAGGACCTCCACCCTCACCGCCGTGGTGTCGGGCTTTGGGGGCGATCTCGGCCGGGCGGCTGCAGAGGGACGGTAGAAACTCTGGTGCTTGCAGGGTGGAGACGGCATTGACGCCTGTGGGGTCCTGGGCGTGAAGGACCCTGGGCAGTGGCCACGTGGATGCCTCCAGCCCAGGTGGCCCCATTCTGCAGGCCCCGGAGCGTTGAGTACCGGGCGGTCCCGCCTGGACCCCAGCTGTCGTGCCTGGCCCAGCTCATGCGCCTCCGTGGGGACTGGAGTTGGCATCTCCCCTGAGCTCCGCTGGGGCGGCCACCTGGGAGCCGGGGCCGCGTCTCGTCCTGGTTGTGCTCCGCTGCGTCGGGAAACCGGCCGCTCCCACGGGCACGGGCTCACCTGGGTGGTCTGCCCTGGGGACGCGCCTGCAGCAACCCCCCTCACAGCCGCCCTCCGCTCCCCCAGGCCAATGAGATGCTGCTGAGCGGGCGGAAGCTGACGGCGCAGGAGGCCTGCGGCAAGGGCCTGGTCTCGCAGGTGTTCTGGCCGGGCACCTTCACCCAGGAGGTCATGTTCCGCATCAAGGAGCTGGCCGCCTGCAACCCCGTCGTAAGTCGTCCCCGCCCCGGTAGCCCGCCGCGCCCGGGCTCCCCTGCCAGTGCCCCGACCGGCCGCTTGTGGTGCCTGACCGCTTGCTGAGGGGGTGGGGGTACAGGGGCCCCGCCAGGGCACCGCTGAGCCGCTGTCCCCGCAGGTGCTGGAGGAGTCGAAGGCGCTGGTGCGCTGCTCCATGCGGGCGGAGCTGGAGCAGGCCAACGAGCGGGAGTGCGAGGCCCTGCGCAAGGTGTGGGGCTCGGCCCAGGGCATGGACTCGATGCTCAAGTACCTGCAGAGGAAGATCGACGAGTTCTGAGCCCCACGGCCCGGACGCCGCGCCAGGCCTGGAAGCAGGGCGCCGCCGCCGAGCTATTTATTACCCAGGAGTTCTACGTACTGTAACTTTAAATAAATAACTACAAAGCTCCTTCGTTCGACGTCGTCATTTTGTGCCCAGCTCCCCGCCGTGTGCAAAGCGCGGGGCCGGCGCCCCCCTCCCGTCTCTCTCTCTGGCTGGCGTCTCAGGGCCCGGGGGCAGGTCGAGGACACGTCCTCGGTGGTGCTGCGATCACCGTCCCTGCGGGAACAGGCCCGCAGGCTGCGGGCGGGCCTCGCCCCGGCCCAGGCAGAGAGAGAGACCGAGCGGGCCCCCCGGGTCCCCAGACCCAGCCGCGTGAGCCTCCCGCACGAGCGATTTCGCCGCGGAGCCGCGCGGGCCTGCCCCGGCTCGTGCACACTTGGGCGCGAGCGGAGAAGCGGCCTCCTCTTGTTCCTCTGCTCTGTTCGGTCTCACCCAGTTGTCACGAAGAAGCCGCCGCGCCTGGAGAAAAGGCTCTGGTTTCGGGGTCACCGGCGGCGCCCTGGCTGCCTGGTGTCGGCCGGCGGCGGCGGGAGGGGGCTTCAGTCGTTGGTTTCTCTGACCCTTTGGGGAACGGCTGCGAGGGCTGCTTTGTGTCTGGGTGAGACGGTCCCTTCTTTGCGGATTTGGTTTGTCTCCAGGCGTGACCGCTGTATCACACCAAAAAGTCTCAAGTATTTCTATGTTTATAAAGTGTCATTTTTACGTTCACTTAGACTATATTTTATTTAATAAGTTAAGATTCCTGGCCACACTATTACATGCAGAAACTCCTTTTGAACAAAAAAGAAAACTACCTTCTCCCCGGCACCCCGCGCTGGGCCGGTGGCCGTGGCTGACGAGGGTGTCCCCTGTGTCCGTGGGGGGCCTGTCCCCCTTCAGGCGGCTGCCGACCCTGTGCCCCGAGCTTGCAATCACGTTGAATGTATGAGGACATAATAAAATCAGAACCTTATTTTTGTACAGTTTTGAAGTTTATACTTAGAAACCGGCGCCCCCCCATCAGAGGGGTGACTGGTGGGGGGCTCGGACAGTATTTTTGCATCTGTGGGACCTACTTTTTCGTTCCGTAGTTTGAACTATATATAAACTGTACAATCTGTAAAGTTTTTATAGAATAAATATTCGGCTGTGAAGACAGGTTAAATAAAACTAATATTTCTTAACACATTGGAGCTGGCGTCCTCATCTTTTGCTTTCTGGGGGGTCTTGTGGGGCGTCTGCAGCATAGACCTGGGCCTCCGCCTCCTGGGCTCAAGAGCTGGGGTGCAGGCCAAAGGCGGGGGGGGGGGGTGGGAGGGCTCCCCAGAGAGAGCGGGGAGCGGAACAGGCTGATCCACTGAAACACACTGCCGAGGGGAGCAGCGGGGAGACTCGGAGAGGAGCTGCTCCCCTCTCCCGTGTGGGTGGCTCCCTGGCTGGTGGGGGATTGGACAGCTTCATAGTGCTGAGACTTAACCCCTGCGCTGCCAGGGAGCCCCCAGGGTCTCATCTTTTTGACAGCTGTATAGTACTCCAGCGTATGCACCGCGTCATCTTTGTCCAGTTGACCGGCCCGTGGCTTGTTTCCAGATCTTGGCTGTTGGCTCACCAGCCCTGTCTCTCGCAGACCTCAGCTCCAGGGCCTCTCTCAGGGCCTCTGGCTCACTGGGCTGGGCTGTCCTTGCGTCCAAGAGGCGGCCATTCACGTGCCCCGTGAACTCTAGAATTTACCATGAAGCAAGCATTGGCTGCTTCGGCCCTCGGCTCCCAGACCGGCAGTGTCTTCCTGCCGCTATAAGCTAGCAGGACCTGTGTGTGGAGGGCCAGGTCGAGGTCCCTTTTGCCAGCTGCTGACCCTTTGCCAAAGCCCCTGGCCGGCGGCCTGGCAGCAGATGCCCTTTGCTGGGGGCTCAGAGAGTTGCTGAGTCGCCGAGAGCCTGGTGGGGAGCAGCCCCTGCTGGCCCCTCCCTGACTGAGGCATGGCTCTGGGAAGGGAAGAGTCTGGTTTGCACCACGTTGCATGTCTGCCGCAGGGATCTTGTTTGTGGCCACTCACAACTGGGCTCCGCATCCCCCTTTGCGGAGTGGAGGCTTCGCTGCTCAAGGGCTTGAAACTGCAGGAGGAAGCGGGAGGAGAAGGTGCTGTTGGAGATGGTGCCTGAGGGCCCTGCTCGCCGACAGGCACCGCCAGGGCACCCCATACCCGCCCCCTGCGCCTCAGGATGCCGCTCCCTGCACTCGGTCCGGCTCCCATGGCCTGTGGGGTCTGTGGATGCCAGCCCTCCCCTTCGCCACGTGCCCCGGCTGGGTGTCGTGAGGACGAGCCTCTGCCTGGGTCCACGTCCTGAGCAGCCCAGCGGCCCGTCCATCCCAGTAGGGGCGTCCCGCGTCTGGGGCGGGGCCTGGCCACGCTGGCCTTCAGGTCACTGACCTTCAGGTCCCTCCTTGCTGAAGTCTTATGAGGGTGTCGCTGGCCAGGAGGCCGCCCTGCTGGAAGGACACAGGCCCCAGGTCTGTGTGGTTCGCGGTGGGCGTTCCTGAGGGAATGTGGAACCGGTCTGTTGGGGCTGAGGCCGTGGTCCGTCCTCTGCTCCGGGACCCCACTCTCCAGGACACGAGTGCCAGGTACTTGCTGACTCGACGGCGTTCTTTAGGGCGTCTGACTTTCTTGCATCCTGTGGGTCGTGTTTTACGTGGTAACAAGTGGAAGCAACAGGCGCGTGGGAAGGAGGCGTGGGGCGCGGAGTCTGTTCTGCACCCAGTGCTTTCTCTGTCATGTCTGTGTCTTGGGGGAGCACTTGCGCACAGGCGCGTGTTTTCTAGAACGCTGAAAAGTGAAATCATGTCCTTCCAGAGGCTTCACCCCTAAACCCACCAGTGCTGCTCCCTGAAGCCTGCCCTCTTCACAGTCCCCAGCCGCACAGTGAGGAAACCTGGCAGCGCCCTAGCCTCAGGTTTCCCAACTGTCCCCCAGCCGCCTGCCATGTCTGCTTTGTTCAAGCCGGGAGCCAGCCAGAGCTCCCTCCCTCCCCCCACCACTGGCCTGTGATCGGAGGCCTGTGCCCCTCCCAGCCTGGCCGGATGTGGTTTCCTGAATGCATTTTTTTTTTTAATTTTAAAGATTGATTTATGCATACAGCACTTGGGTGCAGGCCAGACGTGCTGGGGTGAGAGGACTCCCCAGAGACAGAGTGGGGAGCAGAGCAGGTGGATGCACTGAAATCCACTGCTGAGGGGAGCTGCGGGGAGTCAGGAGAGGTCTGCTGCGCCCTGTGGGGAGCTCCCTGGCTGGGAATGAACTCAGGCTGCAGCGGTGACAGCCCCTAGGCCACCAGGGAGGCCCCCTCCCCCCCACTGCATTTTTAAAGGTACTTCTCTGCATTTCCTGTATCTGGAAATTATAAAGGACCAAAGACTAGGTTGGATTAAAATCACCTGTGCTTGGCAGGGACACGTCGTGTTGACGGGGAGCAGCACCCCGCCCCCAACTGCAGAGAAACGTGGGTTCTTGGGGCTGCAGATGGCGTGTCCCGTCCTGTGTTAGCCACGTCCTATGTTTTCTTTAAGGCTTTCTCACGCGCCTTGTGTCCTCAATATCTCACTTAGCTGTAAACCTTGCCCGTGAGCTCAGATTGTGTGTTCAGCGCGGTTTTATTTGCAGTTTCCCCGAGTTACAGGGGAGCTCCCACCGCGCTCTGCTGTCTGCGCAGGGCTCCCTGTGGGCCCCGCTGTCCTCTCTGCTCCCGGGGGGCCCGAGTCGTCCCCAGCTCTTTTCTTAACAAAGGCGGGACAAGCCAGGGGGGTGTGAGCCGGGAAGGGGGCCGTGGGAGCGTGTGGTGGGCGCGGACACAGCGCTGCCCAGGACCCACTTGGGTCCCTGATCGCGCACGGGGAGCTGGGAGTTGGATTAACCCCCCGGGGCTCAGCTTCTGAGGCCGAGCCTCACCGGGTGCGGGCCGGCAGGAAATCTCGCCCCTCCTCGGGAGGCCGAGTGGCCTGGCGGCCATGGCGGTCGCCGCGTGCCGTGGGCAGCCGCTTCAGTCAGCACAGGCCCCGGCCAGCCTGCCGGCCCGCGCTGCTCTGCGGCTCCGCGGTCACTGCTGCCAGGGCGGCCGCGTGGGGCCTCGCGGGCTTTCCCGTCGCGCCTGCCCGGCCGCGGCCCCACGGTGCCTTCTCCCCTTGCGCCTTTCTCGGGACCTGCCGTCTGTTGGGACGAGGCTGGTGGTTTTACAGGCGGCTTCTCGGGCCGAAGCACGTCTTCCACCTCCCGACGTGTGATCTTACCCGGCGGAAGCTGTAGTGTGAGTCAGTTGTATTCATTTCCCCCTTCGGCCTGTGCCTTCTGTTCTTGTTTTCAGCTCTTTCCCCGGGATGCACAGACGAGCAGGTTCTTCTCTGCCTCTGCTCGTCCTGTTTCAGTTCCTGACCCGCCCGGGACGGGTGTCAGCAACGGCGTGAGGCCGGAGCCCATTTTTATTATCATCTGTCCTACCTGCAAGGCCGGGTCTAGCCCCCGTCACGGCTGAAGCGTGGGTCAGCTCCGGGGCTCCCTCTCTGCCCCGCTGTTGTGTGTTTCATGCTTGTGGCCACAGCGCACGGCGCCAGCCGCGGGAGCGCCATGATTCTGGGGACGGGCCTCCGTCCCCGTCGCTCTGGGCCACGTTGGCCTCTGTGCGCTTTGGGGTTGGGTTCTGACGTTTCATAGACCTCGTGGGACTTTCGTTGCTTACTGACATGTCCTTGAACTCAGAACAGTCGCGAGAGAAATGAGATCTTTGAGATGCTCCGCCCCCTGTCACAGAGGAATCGTTGGTCTGTTAGGGCTCGTTTCATGCCTTTCGCCGAGGTTTTACAAAACTTTGCCCACATCGACCTCGCGCGTGTCTTCTGTCTTCTGTCAGGCTTCCCAGCCGGCACCTTCTTTCGCTGCTGCTGCTGTCCGTGATATCAAAAGCACACGGCGCACGTCCCCTGGCCGCGGCGTGGAGGCGCGGTGGCCTCTGTGGACGTGGATCTGGCGCACGTGCTCAGCGCCTTGGCTGCTTCTCAACATCTGTCGACGATCGCAGGTTTCTCTGTAGGACACAGTGTTCCAGGGCAGGGAGAGGGGCACCCCAGGCCCCCAAACCTGCCTGCTCTGAATAGGTTCTGCCGTCCGCCGCATCAACACAAAACATATGAGACTTTAGTCGGAAAGAACTTTTTTTTTTTTAAGATTAATTTATTTATACAAGCACTGGGTACCGTCAGAAGCGCGGGAGGGTGAGAGAATTCACCAGAGCCAGAGCGGGGAGCAGAGCAGGCAGAGGGACCGAAGGACACTGCTGAGGGGAGCAGCGGGCGGCAGGAGAGGTCTGCGCGCCATGTGGGACCCTCCTCCGGTGGCCGGGGAGCAGCCAGGGATGGAACCGGCGCTGCAGAGGCTGCGGGCAGCTTTGCAACCCAGCCCTCAACCGCTGCGCCACCAGGGAGGCCCTGGGAAGGAACTTTAATACAATTAGTGAACGATACAGAAAAGACAAAGAACATAGTTTCTAAATCCAGCACCCAAAGTGACCCGTCCCCTCGTGGGTAAAAGTCCACCCAAGCAGGACGGGCCCAGAGCAAGGCCCCAAAGCCTGCCACAGTCTAGAGCACCTTCCAGTGGGGACCCACAGAAAAGAAGCAGAAACAACCAGACTAGTCTGGGAGGAAAAGAGCAAAATCAAGACAAAAACTGCCATGGTCCCCTCCCCACGGGTCTCACCCGCATCTGTGTCCCCCCGTCCACGACCAAAAGGCAGGAGCAGTTTCTCCGTGTCTCTCGGCTCCACGCGCCTCCTCCAGGTCTCCTTCTGGCCCATCCTGCTCCTTCCTTCCTCCATCTTCTCTGCAGCTTCTCCTCCCCCCTGCTCAGCTCCTCCCTCCCTTGGGTGGGGCGGGAAACCTGGAACCTCCCCCTTCCTGGAAACCCCCCTGTTACAACAGCACCCGCCAGTCGTGGCGGTTTGTGCCTCCTCGGGGTCCTGTCCCTTCTTCTGTCCTGGAAGGGCAGGCGAGGGCCGCGGGCAGAGCGGCAGGGGTGGTGGAACCGGGGACGACTCCCGCCACGCGAGGGTGGGCGCCCCATGCTCAGGAGAGCGTGCTTGGCTCCTGCTGGAGGAAGCCTGAGCCTGGTGGGGACGCGCCTGCAGTTTCCAGCTTGGG